TTAAGGAAGAGCAATAATCCTTGCTTTCATCTTTGAATTTTGAAATAAACCATCCACCTATGTCATCAGCTTCCCTAATATAGCTATTCAGTTCAGTTCAGTTCAGTTCAGTGGCTCAGTCGTGTCCGACTCTTTGCGATGAGGGCTTCCCTAATAGTTGAGCTGGTAAAGAATCCGCCTACAATGCAGGAGACCCCAGTTTGGTTCCTGGGTCTGCAAGATTCCCTGGAAAAGGGACAGGCTACCCACTCCAGCATTCTTGGGCTTCCCTTGTGGATCAGCTGGTAAAGAATTCGCCTGCAATGCAGGAGACCTGGGTTCAATCCCTAGGTTGGGAAGATCCCCTGGAGAAGGGAAAGGTTACCCACTCCAGTATTCTGGTGTCAAGAATTCCATGGACTATAGTCCACGGGGTCGCAAAGAATCAGACATGACTGAGCTAGTCTCACTTTCACATGTCATCAGCAGGGGAATGAAATTTACTGGATTAGCAATATTTCTCAAATAAATATTTGCCCTTTTGTCTTAATTTTTGTTGAACTGTTTGAAAGTCTCCTTTTTTAATACATATCCTGCCTAATCACATCCTTAAAATATCACAGGTAATGACTGTTCCAGGAGTCAGCAAACTAAAGCCCACAGGACAAATTGGGGCCCATTGCATGTCTTTTGTAAACAAAGTTTTATTGAAACACAGCCACGCTCATTCATTTACATTGCGTTTATGGCTGCTTTCTTACTAGGCCAGTGAAGCTGAAGAGTTGCAGAGACTTTAAGGACCACAAAGCCTCAAGCATTTAGTGTCTGGCCTTTTATAATAATAATAAAGTTTGCTGCTCCCTGACCCTACACCATTGGTGAGTCTCCAGATAAAAGACATCATCATTCTTCTCTAGAATCTGGCATCTGGATTCCCCTTAATTCACTCATTTGTTAATCAACTAATGTTTGTGAAGCATCTACTATGCACCCGGCACACAGATGAAAAACAGGTTAAGGGACTCATGAAGAAAAAGATAAAAGACCACATAATGATGGCTCTCATACACTAGGAGCCTGGAGAGAAAGAAGCCTAAAAGGCATCATCTTGAGAGAATAAGACAGGTCTAAACTCAGTTCATTACAGAAGTGAGCAGAGGATTGAAAAGAATAGAATTAGTTCAGTACTCTGCTTGGCAAAGTCAGGGGTGGCCACACACAAGGATAACCCACTCATACTTCAAGAAGTAGGAGATTAAAGGAAAGGAAAGGAGGAACCAAACCAAGACAACTGTGACTCATGCAATTCCAGGGAGTATACAGCTTGGCCATTTAAATGTTTTTAAAATGCTATTAATTGCTTAGATAACGATGTCTAAAGTCTCTGGGTTACAAAATGCTTTCATGACTTCACCAAAGACACACACTAGCTTATTGCAGATCTTCAATATTATGAAAGTGTTTGGGTGGTTTGGAAGAGATGTTGCTTGTTGGGAAGATCAGGGGTGCCGAACATCTCCAAGCATCTGTTGTTATTACTTACCATCAGCTCTACCCCCCAAATTTTAAGGATTACACAATGTCAGGTGTACATAGAACAGAACACAGTAAAACTTATCACTAGAGGAGCCAGTCTCACATGTGAGCAGAAAGTAAATACTTACCTAATGAATAAGTGATTGATGCAATGATTGACCGTGATTGCTCCTTTGGCTTTTTGATCAATGGCACAGGCTGAAATTAACACTATGAACATACAGAGTCAAAGTGAGTACCTAGAAGTTAAGCTTAACTATAGCAAGGCAGCATAAATAACAGTCTTGTTTTGCTTTTGATCCACCTAACAGTAATGGATAAAAGCCACAACAATGAAAAATTCTTCACAATCTGATGATCAAATAAGACTTACACTGAATTACTTCAGTGTGATTAACTTATTATGAAACACACAATAAACATTTGATTTGCTTGGGTACCTCGACACAGGCTATAGTCAACATAAAAATTAAACATCTGTCCTTTAACAAATGTTAATAAATATAGGTCAACATTTTCCCCTCAGTGATTTTAAAGAGACATTTTACCTCTATAACTTTGAACTTAAAATATTTAAATGTGATCATCCACTGACCCAAAGAAGAAGAGTTGAAATGTTCACTTATTAATAAATGAAATGGCTTCATTTTTGGAAGGCGCAGCACACAAAAGCCATCTTTTATTCAACAAATATACATTGGTATTTTATTAAGTAAAGAAAAATCACTAGTATGGTTGGAAATCTTTGAAAAAAATGTTATTTGGGGGATTCTCAAAGCTAGTAAGGGTAAGAAACATCAATTACAACATCAGAAAATACACTGTTTTAGCTTGATGTTATAGTTATATGATGAAATGTAAACATTGCTGGCTTAAAAAAGAAAAGATTTATGAGTTTCTTGGCTCTGACATCATTAGATCATTTTTTATTTTCTTTTGACTATGATATCTAGCGTAAGTGATAACCACTATTGGAAAACACATAGACTTGAATACTCTTAAAATCCTAAAATGAAAAGAAAACCCCACATCTAAATTTACTTTTTTTCCATGTGGCCAAGGAATCCAATGTTAGACATTTACAAGAAACTACATTATTCCTCTCCCTAACGTAGCCAAGCTCCATGTGTACTTGTGATATCACAGCGTGTTCTTACAAAAATTAATTTCAAATCAAAAAGGCAGGATAATGATTACTTTCAGCAGAGGAACAGATAAGGACACTGTGGTTAAAGCACAGATAGTATGCAATTAGAAACAAGAAAATAAACCAAAGTATTTTTACTATATATTGTTTTAATTTTTATCCTGATGGACTTTCAGTTTCCATTAAAGGAGCTATTTTAAAAAATCTGCCTCTGGAAAAGATCTATTAAAAAATCACAAACTCAGAGCTACTTCGAGAATACAGGAGTAGATATAAAAGGGGTATCATTATATAAAATTGATTATGTGAAGTCTCTACATGCAGTGCTTCTATGAGCAACCAGGAAAAACAATATGCAGATAAATTCAGCAGATACTTTTTCTTCTGGAGAAAAAACCTGCATCTTTCGGTACATTGTGAAGCCAAGAGGGTAGGGTGGGAGCAGTTAAGTTTTATCCACAAGAACAAACACCAGGCTGGCTTTTGAAAAATAAGCCAAACCCAAAATATCCCAGAAAAAAATACTTTGTAATAAAAAAAAAAAAAGTGTTATATATATTTTTCTCCCCCGTCCAAATCTGGAATCCTTACCATCTTATTTTAAACAAGCCAGAGACTGCAAGCTTCTATCTGTTTGGATAGAAGAGAATTTATATAAATGTTTTGTTCAAGCCCAAAAGGGGGAGAGAGTTTAAATATACAGTGCATGAAAGATGCATGCCCAACTTCAAAACAGTTTAGTGCACAGAAGAGGAAAAATAATCTAACCTTCTGTTAGTCATTCTCAGCGGTCTTTAAGCTTAAATATCTTGCCATTTGCAACATCATTTCCATGACCCCCGACTTTAAAGAGATTAACCGAAATTTCATAACTGCCTCGCTCTGGCGGTTCTTTGGTGGGGGGAGAACCAGAGGGTCAAGGAACAAGATGAACAAAAAATCTGTATTTTGCACTCTTCCTTTGCACTTGAGAAAGAAAAACGGGGCCGATCCATCTGTATAATACTAAACCAAATCTCTTTAATTCCAGTCAGCTTTTATCATTCAGTCACTGAGTCTGTGTGTGGAAAAATTCAGGCTGATTCCCCCCTAGCAACAGCCTCAGCCTATCAGAAGACTGGAAGCTCCGTGCAGCTGCCAGCCAGAGAGAATAACTCTAAGTAGGTCAGGCCTGTATTTCTAAAAATGCTACGGTCTAGTAACCCCACTGTCCCGTCTGTCTGCCCTGCCCCGTAATAACCTCAATTGCTTGGTGACACAATGACATACTACCCTGTTAGAGAGCAATCACATCATGCTACATTATTCTGCTCCGAGCCTGACTGCTGGGTGAAGGACCCTCGGAGCGGACAGCATTAATCAGGCAGCCATTCACGTCCGCCCGCACTTCAGTGGCGAAATGGGGGCTGCATTAATGACCAGCTGTTTGAACTAACACAAACAAAATCATGTCTTCCACCCTGTTGGGTGCACAGAATACACGATTCTGAGCCGGCAGGTTCCGCTCCTTGACGAAAGCGAAGAGGTACATTAAAACACGGGCTCCGACCACGCCAGCTCCAGCACCCCCAGAGTAAACATATTTAAATTATCTGACAGGCGCGGCTCCAAAACCTACTGATTGAATATGCACGGCTTTCCCGGCCACCGATTTCCCCCTAATCCACATTAAAAAGGGAAACGCAGACCCGGGGAAAGCAATACGTAGGCGCGTTTTACCCAGGAGGCCGAAAGCGGGGGAGCTGAACTAAAATTGACTTCTCTTCGGGCAGAGAAACAAAGCGGGACGAGGAGTAATTGTGCGGCGTGAACACAAATACAAATACGGCATGAATGCCGTGGAGGAGCGCTGAAAACAAATAAGAGTAAACAGCCCCAGCCTCCCGACCAATCAGCTCCTCCCACCGGCTCTTTGTGGGGCTGGAGTCACACACACCGCAATCTCTAAGCGCCAGAGACAAGGGAGGGAAGTGAACGTGGCCTTCGCCTCCCCACCACTGCAGTGCCCCGACTTCCCACGGGCTTCCTAACAGAGGGCTGTTTGGCTGCGAGACGGCCGAGGCTCCGGCAAGGTTTACACGGGGGCCAACAACAAACATCAGAACCCCGCTCAGTTGCCCAATTCTAAGATGTGATTTTTCGCATTTAATTGACCCTGTTTCATCTGAACTGTAACTTTTAACTCCTCTCCACGTGAATGCACAAAAGCCAAGCAAACAAAAATTCTGTGTGGATGCAGAGATACGGGGCAATTGGCAACAGCTGCTTGGGGCTATTGGAGGAAATACCTTGTATTGAAGGGGAGCGCGCTGATATTTACATGCACGATTCATCTGCATTTTTAAGGGTTCACAGTTTCGTTTAATGAACATACAATATCCCCCCACCTCACCCACAAATGGATAATCCAGCCTTCAATTATGCAGAACCCAGCAAGTCTTAGACGTGTAATCCATGAGGATTTGATTTACAAACACAGAAAAATTCCTGACTCCATTTGCCCTGGTTTGAACTGGGTTTGATAACTCAGTTATGACTGTCTTCTTCACTCTGTGGCACACATCACACAGTTATTCTTGGAGAGGTGCAGGCGCTGACGCAACCATGAACCACTAATTACAAGCTGCTGACATTCTGCTTGTCTATGCAGCTTTGAAGTCCTAAAGTCTGTTTTTCTCTCTGATGGGCTTGCTCAGTTGCATTCTCCTTCCCTCATTGCTCCCTGCCCCCCATCATCCCCTCTTTCCTCCTCTCCACTGGAAGCCTTTCTGCACGTGCTGTAGGACTACCTGGAGCAAATCTCTAAGAGAGATCAGCTTCTCCAACCTGCTTTCTTTGCACTCCCTCCCTGCTCTCCACCGCACAGAGATCTACAGTTTCCAAGTACAGTAATCAGGTCCCCACCCAGCCCCACCCGCAGGAATGCGCCAACAGCTGGCCAAACATAATCCAACACACAGAGCCGCCTTTGTAGAAATAGTAACAAACAGTGGAAGGGCCAGACAGGCGTCCCAGAAGAGCTCCCCATGACAACTGGGAAAGCACCTCACCCCCAGTTTTGAGCTGGGCTTGGAGCACCAGAGACCATGCATCAGAACCTAAAACAAGCCTCAGGTGCCTCCCGCAACCTCACCAGAGGCTGTTCCCAGGGCACCCGCGTCTCCAGATGGGAAGGTAGATGCAGGCTTTCTCTATGTGGAGCATGACTCTGCTCTGCCACATGGCACACACCCTCGAAATGCGACATCATGATCCCAAATCTCATGAACAGCATCCATACCTGAATCTAACCATCTACCTTGTGAGCTGGTAGGACCACCTCTTCCCTACAAAAGGATTTCTTTTTAATTATAGGCTGATCCGGGAATTCAGAAACACGTAAATGTAAGATTGCATTCATCTCCATTGTACGCTTAGCATCTGAAGCCTGTGGTAGCCAGCTGGTCTCAAAGTCATCTGGGATACATTTATTTTGATTAAATTGATCAGATTTCTATTTACTGGATAGAATTTTTCATCATACTGAATACAGCTGTGTTTACAGGGGATCTGTCGAAGAAGAAGCAAACAAAACCCTACAGTCAGTCCGAGCGAAGCACAGAGCATTCAGAGCTTCAAGGAGTTAAAGCTGAGGAGCGTTGCTTTCACATTAACAAGAAAATTCTGCATGCAGCTGCTCTGGCCATGCTCTCTAGCTAGTCAGGAAATGGGTGTTGAGCTGAAGCTGAAAATACAAGCTGCAATCAAGCCCGATCCAGCCAAGTGACAGACTTCCTGTGTAAACTGGTCAGAAATCGCCCTCTTTTCATGTCTCTACATGCATGCACATGCATTTAAATCCATGCTGTAAGGCTGATCTTCTCCCTGGGGACACTGGTACAGTCACCTAGCCCATCAGTTTCTTCCTTGACAGCACCGGGGACATCCAGACTACAATTTACAGTTCTTCCACCCATGGACTGGGTTATAAATTATGCCTTCCTCCCTAGAATGAGAATGCAGGGCCAGCGGCAGACAATCGAACAGCATTCCGCCTCTCCTCTTTCTTCTCAGGCACTCCCTCGCTCTGCCTTTCTCCAACTCTGCCTCGTCGGCAGGCAGGCAGGCAGACACATCAGAGACCAGGTTTATCCATCTTCAGCTCCACTCTCAAGTAAAATGCCACCACATCTCGCCATGGGTCTTTCCTCCCAGACTAATCCCCGGGAGCAGCCCGAGCTGGGTGCGCCCTGGGGAAGACCAGTGGGCATTGGACGGATCGAATTCCTAACTTCTCCTGCCCCGATCCTTGGCATTCTTTCTATCCATCCCACCCCAGGTCTTCTCCCGCATCACCCTGTCCTCTGAGTCCCCTCGCCTGACTGCGAGGGGACCCCGGCCAGAGCTCCGCCAGCAGGTCCTTCTTCTGCGCTGCGTAGACCGACGATGCCGGGTTCCCGTGCGCCATGGAGAAGCCGAAGCCGGGAGACAGCAACAGCAGCTCAGGTAACCAGGAAAAGCTTGGCGTGCCCACAGCGATGCAGCCCTGGAGCTGTGAGGAAAGACGGTCTGGCTTCAGAATAAAAAAAAAAGAAAGAAAGAAACACAAAACAGCGCAGCTCGGCGCCTGCGGGGGTGGGAAAAACAGACACAAACCATTAAAAAAAAAAAAAGCAAGAGTTAAAATCAAATTTCAAAAAATATATATAATACATAGATCAGAGTAGTTCATGCGACTTTTATTTCTGATGTTTCTTGGGTTATTGGCCTCCCCGCCCCCTCCAAAATCTCTCCTGTCCCCGAACGCTACTGTCCATGAGTGCCGAGTCACAAAGGCTTTTGCTCCAAAGTGCTAGCAGACCCAGCATCACATGAGAAGCCACATGACAACTGGAGTCGGCTGCTGATGTGGTCAACTCTGTTGCCGAGGCAGGGGGAGCAGGAGGGAGACAGAGCTTAAGCGAGACATGCCCCTCTCGTGCTCCAGGAAGAAATTTCCTTAAAAGAACAATGAGAAAAAAAAAGGCATCTCTGAAGAAATGCTGGTGACTGCACCCAGACTTGCAGACATGCACACTTACATACCCCAGAGAGCCCGTGGGTGCTTGGAGACATTCTGAGGATGCTGTACCTCGAACACAAGCTGGATGGCAGCAATATTATTTCCAGTTTGTATTAGTCAAATCTCGATTCCACTCAAGTGGATTCCTGAAAAGCACACGCCATGTCTTCCTAGCATGATCAGGCTTGGAAAACCAATTCTATTATCTCTCCCTGCAATCTGCATCTGAACCTGCATTCTGAATAATTTATTTTTAGACTAATAAGATGCTGGCCAAGACCTCTCCCTTTCTTCTTGCGCGGGTGGCGCAGGCAATATTCACCCAAGTGGGAAAAGCTTGCCCCTTTGTAGGGAGAAGAGTCGGTTTTCATTATTTTCCAAAAATGCACTTTCTCATTTAAAGGCATACAAACACATAATGAAGTTCTCCTGCAAGTAAGCATTAAAAATAAGCAAAATGTTTCCACTTCACTGAACTGACAAGCCTCATACTTTCCCTGTGGCATCTCAGGCTGGCGGATGGTGGTGATATTTTTCTGATGATGTTCATGGCTGCAGCTAGAGCCCTTAAGCCACGTGGATATTGCTACTCCTCGGCAGAGTGAGAGCGAATAACTGCTTTCTGGGGCATCTCTCTGCAGAGGAGCTGCGCTGCCCAGGTACGTTGTACTGGTTATATTAAGGTAGGTAGGAGAGAGATGGCCTCAGGGCCTTGTCGAATCCATCAGTCATCCCAGAATTAAATACGCTGCCTATATGCAGCATCCTCCCCACGGTGTGAAAGGTATGCCTCTTTAGAAAATTTGAGCATGCCAGCTAGCTAGAATGAGAGCATCAGTAAGCAGGTGGCAGGAATTGTCTACAACTTGTCTTACTCAACTGCAGGTATCAAGGTGAGCAGCCCTTCATTCATTCAAGTGCATATATAAGCTTCCAGGTGTGTGTGTGTCAAGGAGACACTGGGGAGAAGACAGGCAAGGTCTCTGCCATCCTAGAGCTCAAGGTCCGGTAACCGCATGTATATTTTTACCTTCGAGGTCAACCATCTCCCAATCTGGATACTCCAAAGACATCCAAAGAAGAAACCCCGCGGTTTTTCACTCCTTTCCGGCCATCAACCTGTATGAACTCTGGAGTTCTATGGATTCATTCTTTGCAAATTACGCTTGAACTTAAGATGTCCTCTCCAGTCCTCCATTTCAGTGTCTACGCTCATGCATGCACACCTGCACAGTCCACAGTCTTCTCTGTCGCCTCCTTCTTTGTTCTAGTCCATTGGGCAACCTGCCACTAAAGAAACTTAATAAACCACCACGTTCTGGATGTCCAGACCCCCTTCTCCATGTGGTCTGGGCAAACCTGTCCAAAACTGAGGATGGCTCCTTTATTTCTTCAGGTGTACATACTACCAGTAAGAACACACTATATCTGACTGTGCATCATCTATGTCAGTAAACGGGTCTATTCCTGACCCTCTGAACACATCATCCATTGGATCAGGAAAAAATAGTAATTTTGGCTTATTTTTGTGAGTAACTAGGCCTAGAGCACAGCAAGGAAACCAAAGACACAGGAGGCATTGTCCCTGCCCCTGCTGCTGCTAAGTCACTTCAGTCGTGTCCGACTCTGTGCGACCCATAGACGGCAGCCCACCAGGCTCCGCCGTCCCTGGGATTTTCCAGGCAAGAACACTGGAGTGGGTTGCCATTTCTTTCTCCAACGCGTGAAAGTGAAGTCGCTCAGTCGTGTCCGACTCTTCGTGACCCCATGGACTGTAGCCCACCAGGCTCCTCCGTCCAAGGGATTTTCCAGGCAAGAGTACTGGAGTGGGCTGCCGTTGCCTTCTCCGGGTCCCAGCCCTCAGACAATGTGTGATCTATGCAACCTGTGCTCTATTGGCTGCACTATCTTGAATTGCCATCTCTTCAAGGTTTATTTCTTGTAACAATAAAAAACAGGTCTAAATCTGCCTACCAAATGAATGTTGGGTAAACAGTGCCAAAGGAGGTCTGAGAAGGGAAAGACGAATTCTACCTAAATGTCTGCCAAGGTCCCCAAAGAACCCTGAGATTTGCAGTGAGCTATGAAACATCTGGCCAGAGTAGGGGGCAAGGTTTGGGCCATAACAATAAGAGTAACAAGAGGAGCGAAACACTAGTCCTTCATTTATGCCAGGGTCTCCTCTAAGCATTTCACATCCCTGAACACAGTTAATCCTGTGAGGGACTTAGTGCTTTAATAGCCTCTTTTCAATGATACAGAAGTACCCATGAGAGGTTAAATAAGCTGCCCAAGACTGCACAGCAAGTAAGTGCTAACGGATCAATGCGTCTGGCCCCTGAGCACCACTTTTTAACTGCCATGCTGTACATCCTCGGAGCTGGAAACCCGAAAGGTGAGGGGACACACAATCCTGACTGAGGTGCATGAGGGGGGATCGATTCGATTCAAGCAGAGGACAAGGTTTGTAGAAGTCAGACAAGAGCAGGGAGAGCCATATTACAAGGCTAAGGCATTTTACTCTTATCCTAAAAAGCACGTGACTTTTCCATTATGGTTCCAAATTATAGGAAGACTTTTCTGGTGGCTCAGTAATAAAAAAAAATCTGCCTGCAATGTAGGGGACGGAGTTCAATCCCTGGACCGGGAAGATCCCCTGGAGAAGGGCATGGCAACCCACTCCAGTATTTTTGCCTGGAGAATCCCTTGGACAGAGGAGCTTGGTGGGCTACAGTCCAAAAGGTTGCAAAGAATCAGACATGACTGAAGCAACTTAGCACACACAGCTAAAATTAACAGAGGGTGGAGGAAAGACTAGATATAAGGAGACAGACCAAGAGGCTCCTGCCACAGCCTGGCTACAAGGGTCCACTGCCTGAACACAGTAGTGGCAGGAGAAAAACCAAGAGGGGTTCTAGAGGCTTTATGAAAAAAGAAATAACACTACTGAGATGTTCTTGGGGAAAGGAAAAAATGATAGCAAAGTTGACTGCACGATTTTTTAAACCTGGATAAATTAATCAAGCAGTTCCCTGAGCTCAGAAACTGATCTCCTCCATCCTTGTTTTTCTGAGCACAATACTTAATACATTTTTTTAAAAACACTGAATGAATTAGTTAAGTAAGTGGAGGGAGAAATGGGAAAAATAAAGTCGCTGCTACACAGAAGAAAAAACTACAGAAAATTTAACATCTCATAAGATATCCAAGGGACAAGGTCCATCATGAAATTAGATACATAGAAATAGCATCCATTTTCTTCCTCCACTACTGGCCCAGGTTTTCGATGACACGTGCTTTCACCCGTCACGCACCTTAGGGGCTCCTCTTCAGGCTGCTTTTGATCAGATGCTGCTGATTTCTCCCTGCTCCAGCCATGTCAATCTTTACTCATCACCTGCAGACCCATCTTAGCCAGGTCTAGCTCCTAATTTGAACACTGCACTTATTACCAAGGCAATAAAATCAGTATCTGGACATATTTTACCATTCTTTTATTTTTTGAACCACAGCAAAGTGGGGAAACCACACAAGTTTATCACCCTTCTCATATAATCTTAGCTAACCAGAATCCTAAATTAACAAATGTACCTAAATTAACATTTCTTAAGTAGTTAATGAAGGTTAATATGACATACTGCTTCTGGCTCTGGAAGTAAAAGGGGGTATTATTGCCTCATATTATAGCTGGGAAAAAAAAAGTGTTAATAATCTTTCTCATCAGCAGTAAAGAATTGGGCTTTTAATACCCAGATATATTTTAGTAAAAGGCTAGTATATCATCTCTAAGTGGAGTTCAAGAGCAATGTTAGATAACTAGGGCATTTCAAGAGCCTACTTATACTAGAGACCAAGAAAAAAAACACAGTGAAAGTCAAATTTATTTCTACATTGTTGAAGGAAAAAAGAAAAAAATGCAAATTTATGTTGGGAATATTGTGATACTGCTTTAGATTCATTCCAGTGATTAATTAATCTTTAAATATTAAGAAGGAAACTTGGATCTGGAAAATAAATTATTCTGAGTAAATTGGTAATATATGAACAAGGTCACTGGTTTTGTTCTGTGACACTCACACCAATGTATTATGTGGACCTTCTTGGGTAAGAGGGTGTATGAAGCATGATGGGAGAAGAAAATGAATGAGGCACCATCTAGGTCTGCAAAGAGCTTATGAGATCATCATCCAGAAGACACTTCCCTCCGTTTGACAAAGGGAACCTACTGCCTTTGACAACAGCAAATAGAGGGGCGAAAAGTGGAAGCAGTGACAGATTTTATTTTCTTGGGCTCCAAAATCACTGTAGATGGTGGCTGCAGTCATAAAATTAAAAGACACTTGCTCCTTGGAAGAAAAGCTATGACAAATCTAGGCAGCGTATTAAAAAGCAGAGACATCACTTTGCCAACAAAGGTCCATATAAGTCAAAGCTATGGCTTTTCCAGTATGTGAGAGTTGGTCCATAAAGAAGGCCGAGCTCCAGATAAT